TTCTTACATTTTCTAACATAATTTCACTAAACAAATTAACCCATAGGAGTACAATTAGTTGGAGATGTCAAAATCTACGTGTCAAAATATCACATAAACCTTTTACTTTAATTATTTTTTTGAACAAACTTTTAATTTAAATTTGACATCTCCATTTGGAAATACTCTTAACAACCTCGAAGACGGCCCAAATTACGAAATTATCCTTGGATTAGCAATTCCCATTTTTTTTTTAACAAGACCCATTGGGATCCAACCATATAACTGCACTGAATGTCTACCTGTCACACATCTGTGAGAGAGAGAGAGAGAGAGAGAGAGAGGGAGAGGAGTAAACATTGAGTTTAATGGTGACACCACATTATCTTTAATATATGATATCATCATACAAGATTATTACTATAATATGTGAGATCCACGGCTCACCTATTTATTTATTATATTTTTACTAAATATTAACACCACGTGACAGTGACAATAATAACGTGATATCACCATTACTCTCAATATTCTTTCCAGAGAGAGAGAGACTCAGCAAGGAAGCATCATCTGTCAGGCATTTGAAATGAAAATATAGGTCTCGGGTTGTAACGTTTTTTTAAGTACTCTCTCTTTTTCTACTTATTTACAGATTTTCACAAACTCACAATATCGAGCAGTATATCACTTACCCGGGAGGAGTCGGATGATGCAATCTCAAATTTATAGGGAAAACAGACACACACACACACACACACACACACTAATATCACATTCTCAACCAGTCAAAAGTATATTAATAGTACATTTTTCCAACTCTCATACAGGTTTCAAGGCTAGAAATCATGCAGACATGCTGATAGTAGTTCATATTCAAGAACATGTCGGTTTATTTATGCTAAAACTGTTCCCTGGACCTAAGCAATTCCCAGCAGTTTCTTTATATCCTTCTGCAAATAGAAGAAAAAACAGGAGGCGGATGAGTCCAGCGCCTAACCTATACAAGGCTTCCGAGCTAGCTAAAGCCTAAACAATGTTGAATAATTGAAGTAATAGCATAAATGGTTTTACCTCGACGCCAAGAGGAGAAGTAGTGGGAGCATAGCGATCGACAACATTCCCCTCTTTATCAACCAGGAATTTGGAGAAGTTCCATTTGATACCGTCTCCAAAAATTCCTCCTTTGCTCGACTTCAGGAACTTGTATAATGGAGCAGCATTTGAACCATTGACGTCAATCTAGTTTGTCAACAAACAAATATAAGCTGTTGTCCAGTTACCCTATTAACATGAGAACATGTAAGAGTTTGCTGACTGCATTACAGCAAATATGAAGGTCCTACGACACATTGATGAAGGTTTAACAAATTTGCATGGTTTTGGTGTGAACTTATTTCTATAACTATCATTGAAATTTATGTGTCATTAACATAAATATATGAAAAGCATTCTACTCGACAATCACCCCTCCCCCCCGGTTCTTCTTTTCAAAACCCAACCCTCAGGGACCTGGACCCAAAGCACAAAGTCAAGAAGAACAAGGTCTGTAGTAACAAAGCTGAAAGCTTTACTCGGTCTTCTTAACCAATTAACCAAAAGAATGGATAAGAAGATCTGTTGGCAGTTGGGTGTTTCAACTTTTACAAACATTAGTAGTTCATCGTGAGGCTAGTGATTCATTCCATGTGTAGAAAGGTTTGGATTTGAGTTATTTTCCTAAGATATCATGGTGCGCACGCACGCACGCATGCATGAGAACAAAAACAGTTGTCACTATTTTTGCAGCAGAGCATGCATGTCAAAAAATCTCACTTTGAGAAAGGAAGCAAGAAGCTTCTCTACAATTCCTACCTTATCAAATATGGGATATTCAGCCTTAAAGCGAGTGCAGGCGAACTGTTGAATCTCTTCATTACTTCCAGGTTCCTGCGAGCCAAATTGATTGCATGGGAATGCCAGAATCTCGAGGCCTGCAATAATTACAAGAATAAATAAAACCATCTAGATGTTAAGAGAGCTTAAATCACACATTTAATTAGGACCACCAAGGTTAGTTTATATAATTGAGGGATCACTCCACACATTGCCCATTGATTTTGGATTAGATGCTCAAACGCTAGAGACCAAAAAAGGAAACTAAGGGGGGAGGCCAGAGGGGGCTTCAGGAGATGCTGCAACAAATGGCAGGCACTTGAAATAGTTGGGAGTTTCCAACCCTCAACTGAATTGCCAAGTCTTGGGACGAAAGGCGAATTATCAGAAAAAAAACATACAACGGAGTCCGGAAAGAGTAATGGCATGCAAAATATGATATGATTGTAACACTATAGAAAGCACAAGCTTTTCTTGCACTTGCAACAGAAGAGTGTTACCCAGAAGAGTAAGTCATAATCAAACCTTGATCCTTATATTTCTCATATAGCTTTGTCATCTCTGTATAATTCGAATTGGTGAATCCACTGCATCAGAGAAATATACAATCTCATTGATTAATGATTTATGTCAAAGCAATTGAAACATCGAAATGAAGCTAATCCAATAGCATTTAAATTAATTAAAAATCTATTAACAAAGTTTACCAAAATCAGCCTTTAAATTTCCGGTTGTTTGACTAGGCAAAGGACACCGTCCAGTTCCCAGTGGTGATAAACAAAAGAAAAAATTACACTCAAACTCTCAGAGATTTGTTACTAATCACTTAAGACCCTGACATTCGAAATATTACACACAAAACCTCTAAAGTTTGTATACACACAACATTTAGACCTCTGTTGTATTTCCGTTAGTATATTCAGTAGAAAATTGCAACCAAACTCCCTAAAATTTATATGTGTGTAGCATTTAGACCTCTCTAAGTATGAAATATTTCACTTAAATCCTTTATTAGTTACAGAACTAATGAAATCTATTAAATGACCAAATTACCCCAATTAAAGATAGAGGATATTGTACCCATTACAGTTTGACTCCTTATTTAATTTTTCAATATTATTCCAATGGATAATATAATTGTATGCAAATATGTGTTAAATAAGTTCTTTGATATATTTATACTGATTACTATTTTTTTCTCAAAAAATTGTGATTTTATTTGGGTTTTATGTCAATAGATAATATAATGAAACATACAAATGTGTTGATTAGGCTTATTTCATATGTTAGTACTTAATGATAGAAAAATTGACCCAAGGTAAAAAGTCTATTTAGCCCAAGATGTTTCAGATATGTCACTCAAATGCAGTTCATACCTTTGAGTTACTAACTGACTTGAGTATCGGAAAGTCGACCCCAGAAACTCCCATTTGATCTCTAACTTATTTTTCAGGTGATCAAAGTCTAATAAATTGATGTGGAGGTCATCTAAATTTTAACATCAACAGTACTAATTATGATTTTTTAAGAAAAAATTGAACTTTTATTTTTAATTTTATTTCAATAAATGACATATAAAACATGAATTTTGGTTGTAAAATTTAAAATATTTGATATTTCCTTCAAATTTTAGGAATTTAGAGGTAAGATATACAAACAGATATTAATGATAGAGGTACAAACCTCAGGGGTTTGTATGTAATATTTTAAATGTCAAGGATTTAGGTAATTAAGTAACAAATTTAAGAGAACCTGGCTGTAAATTTCCCTACACAAAATAATGGAACTGATTTCTTATATCCAAGCAAAGGGATTAAAGAGAGAGAGAGCCACAACTTACCATTGTGATGCAACATTGACAATCAGCAGGACCTTTCCCCGATATATGCTAAGATCCACATCATTCCCTTTGGCATCCTGCAACCACCAAACTTTTAGAAAAGTTTCCAGACCCAAATGCCAATTAGCATATTCTATCAAAGAAGAATGGCATGGATAGTAGGCGAATCTCCCCCACTCCCTTGCAATAAAAAGCATATTAAAGAATTTTGAATAAATTATATACATGGCCTTAAACTATAGCTCTTGTGTCAATTAAACCCCTAAACTTTTTTTTGTGTTAATTAAATCTCTGAACTCTCCAATTGTGTCAAATGCCAATTGAGCTTTTCTGTTTGCGTCCGTTAGAAAATCTAACGGAAAGTGATAAAATGTACCACTCATGTGACATAAATGGTTAGAGACATGACCACCAAACTATAATTCTTGTGTCAATTAAATTCTTGAATATTTTTTTTATCAATTGAGTCCATAACCTCTCTATTGTATCAATTGAGTTAATTTATCTTTTTTGTGTCATATCGCCTCGAGAGTGATACAATCTAACGGAGGGAAACAGAAAGACTCAATTGCACAATTAAAAAATTCAGGGGCAAAATTCACACAATTAAAAAATTCGGGGGCTTAATTGACACAATCATAGTTTAAGGGTCACATGTGTAGTTTACTCAAGAATTTTCCGTTCCTCTTGAAGGGGGGTTTGGCACGAACTCCGATGAAATCGAGACAATCGCCCCATAAATTGTATTTCAAACGAAAATATTTTTTCATTCCACTGAACTAATTCAGTACCAAAAAATTTAAATTTACCAACCCCAAGTTCACAAGCAAATCATCACAACATAATCCATAAATAAAATCATCTATATGTAACCTGTATATTAGAAGAACAACGCTAAGATGAAGACCCAGATGAAGAAGATGTAAGAAGAAATCGAACCTTGACAGTGAACTCATGGACTGATTTAGGCTGAGCTGATTGACTGGCCATACTGTGACCTGATCGCAAACCCAACAACACAAACCTCTTAGAATTATCACAAGATGACGACCGTGAGGTATGAAATAGAAGACAAACGAATGAGGCTGGGACAAATGACCTGTGGCCCATCAGATCATATCTTGCCCATATGGTGACAATTGGATAGTCCATGCTAGCTCACATCTGGGCCTTTTAAAGGACAATCCCAGTTGTTGGATCAAATAGAACGACAAAAGCCCAATTCACCACCTAACCAGAATAGACCGGACCCCATTATGGCATTATTCTTTTATGTGGGTCCTACCTTAGTCACCAAAAGATCTGGCGCAATCATCTTCATCTTCTTTTTGGAGCTCTGGAATCAGATAAAATCATATAGACAGCGATCGCCTGTACAGTATTTACTCTGTGTGTGTGTGTCCGACAGAGAGAGAGAGAGAGAGTATGAAGCTCAAAGTATACGCTGATCGACTGTCCCAACCATCTCGAGCAGTTCTAATCTTCTGCAAGTAAATCTTTTTTTCCTTCCGATTCTGGTTTTTCAATTTTTCATTCGTTTACTATTGTTTAGTCTGTATATTGTACCTTAAATCCACATGTTTTTGGTATTTGTGAAGGATTAATGGAATAGATTTCGAGGAGTTCAAAGTAGACCTATCCAAACGCCAGCATCTATCCCCTGAATTTAAAGGTGTTTTTTCGAATAACATTTGCACTAAGAATCTGTCCGATTTATCCGGTGATAAGGTTTGAACCTGGCTTGGATTTGGGAGTTTTTTTTTTCTTTTTGGGGTTTCATGGGTTTTAGTTTGCTTGGGGGTCTAATGGTTTGATTTTGGAACCATATGGACATTGGGAGAGAGGCTGAATTGAGTTGATGGGGGGAGGTTGGATAGGAATCTGCTATAGAATAAAACATATTATTGAATTTGGTAATTGTAGTTGCTATTATAGGTTTTTTCTTTTCTTGCTTTTGTGAGCTACTGCTAGTTATGGTCTACCTGCTGTGCTGCTTTTACGTGAATTATAGTAATATGGATATCAATTCTTGTTGCTTTGAATTGGCATTTGTGCTTTGAATTGTTCTGTCAATAATTTCTTTGCTTAAAACCTAACATGTAAATTTGATGAATAAAGAACGAATGTGTCGTATTTTTCCTTTACCTGTGGTTCCTTTCAGAAATAAACCCCATGGCACAAGTTCCGGCGATTGTCGATGGAAGATTTAAGCTGTTTGAGAGGTAATTAAAGATTTAAGGGGTTAGTAGCTATCATTTATCAATATTGTTAATGTTTAGAAGTGTTAGTGGGTGTTTGTGTGCAATTTTATTTTTAAATTCTGGTTGTATTCTAAAATTCTAGGTGTCTTTTGATATGATGTGTTATGTATGTAATGTTTCTTCTTTGCTCCTTTTTATTTTGGGTTGATTTGAACTTAATCATTTGACACACATTATCATGGGCTTCTGAATCAGTGTTAGAGGATAAATGACATAATTTGCTGTTAGAGAATGACCAGTAGATGGTCCACTCAGTTAAATGTCAATGCAATTTATTGATCATTGTTGGAGGAATTTGGATTTTTGGATTTGAACATACATGCACTTTTAAGGGTTAGTATATAAAATACCTGAGTTTCATCCTTTGCTACAAGTTATCTTCCTTTGCCTCAGTTTCACTACTGCCACAGATATTCTTATGCAAAGTTAGATGTTGTGGACACCTCTCTTTGACTACCATGGGTTCTAAATTGCTGGTTTTTGCTTACTTTATCACTTTTTTTTAAAAAAAAACTGTGTTCTTTAGTGCATAGGTTCTAGATTTTCAAGGTAACCGACTATATTTGAGATTAAAATATAATGTGTTTGTTTTGCCTCAATATGCTTCCATCCAGTACAATCCTCTCTATTTGAGCAGTCATTTTCAAAGCAGGACGTTTCTTCAAAATCATTTTTCCCCACATAAATTGTATTAATTGAAGTCATACATTGATTTAATCCAAAAAAAGTTCATACATTGATTGGTGGTTCTGATTCTGAATAGCCATCGTTAGTTATGCAACTAAAATTTGGCTTATTATACATTTTCTGATGTTGTATGTGGATACTTGTCACAAATATAAGCTAGAAGACACTACTGCTAGCATTTTCTTTCTCTACGTACTAGTTACTTAACCTGCTTGTAACATGTTGATGATTATCTCTTGACATTGATATGCTTTGCAGTCATGCAATTCTTATCTATCTTGCCTGCGCATTTCCTGGAGTTGCAGATCATTGGTAAGATTAGTTGATTCAATATTGCCACTAGTTTCAATTTAGGTATGGGATGATTATGACTTACTGGCTACAGGTGTATCTGTCAAGATTATGACTTAGGATGTATTTCCTAGGTTGCTGGGAGTTCTTTTGATTGCTATTCATTGACATTCAAGTGACACAAAGACACCTTAAGTTCTAGTGTGAAATGTCAGTCGAAGTCATACGTTTGGACCTGCATTCAAGTTCTCCTTAGAGCTTAAACACCGTCTTTTTGAACAAATGTGGCAAAATGCGGAAGTTAAAATACCAACTGCATAATTTTGTATGGCATCCATTTAAGCTGGTGTAGTGTTTGTCAAAGTAGTATATTTTTTTTCTCTGAGTTTTACTATTTTTTTTCTAGGATTATATTGCCTCTTTGTTCTTTGTATTTCATTTTCTCTATTAATACTTTTCAACCAATTCATTTATCCATTCTTAAAGGTATCCTGCTGATCTGTTCAGAAGAGCTAAGATTAACTCAGTGTTGGATTGGCATCACTCCAATCTACGCCGTGGTTCAGGTCTGCCATTTACTTTATCAAAGTTGCTGAAATGCAATTAAGTTTGTAACAATTTAGATCAAAATAAAAGAACTACCCATGTTTCAATGGAATCAGGGGGTTTCAGTAATGGAGAAGTTAATTCAACCAAATGATAGTATCATTTGCTGTTCTTTATCACAACCAATTAAACCAATTAGTAGTATATTTTCTTTTCTTTATCACCATTTATTGGTATTGCCATTTTGTTTCCCTTTGTGCCTTTATGATGATCCGTGTATGATTCTCTCTAAGATAATACTCTTCGTTTCAGCTACTTTTGTTCTAAATACTGTACTTGCACCTGCTCTGGGCCTTCAGAAGAATCCTCAAGCTGCTGCTGAAGCTGAGAAAATTCTCTATGCATCCTTTGCAAGGATTGAATCCTTTTGGCTCCAGGGGAAGGGGAGGTTTTTGCTGGGAGGCTTACAACCATCCATTGCAGATCTCAGCCTAGTTTGTGAAATTATGCAACTTGAGGTAAATGGAATGTAGCTTACTGATATTATTAGCACCATTATAAATAGAAAATTGCATCATCTTAGGAGTCAAACAAAAAGATTCAAAGCCGAAGCCCACTGAAAATTCAGAAATAGGGTTTTGTGGATGATGTTCCTATTGGAGTAATATAAACTAGAGAATCTCCTATTAGAACATCATCTTCATCAATACAGTTTTGCCAGAATGACCTAGATCCTTGTGGAAGCGTATTATACATTTACTTGAAGGAAGGTCTAGAATGTCTGGTCAGCATGCCAACTGATTCTCTCTTTACTTTGAGCCAGTTTAGCGTCTACTACTACTAGAATTTAATATCTGCTTAATGTTGATATGGATTGCATGACATGAATGGCTTATGAATCATCGGTATGAACACTGAATGCATTCCAGTTTGTTTGTTTCTTTTCTGAGAGAAATATGTCATTCATATTGTTGATTCCATCATAGGATTCACTTTCACGTATCAGTCAGTTACAAATTATGGTTGTGTGGAAAGGAGATTCTTTCCACTGCATTTGTGGTCTGATTTAGAACCCTAACACTTGAATGAAGAAGTTATTCAGGAGGAAATTAATATATCTCGTGAACATTTGTTACTGAGTTCAGGTTTTGGATGAGAAGGATCGCAACCGAATATTAGGCCCACACAAGAAAGTTATGCAGTGGGTTGAGGATACAAAGAATGCAACAAAACCACATTTTGATGAAATGCATGCAGTCCTCTTCAGAGCCAAAGAAAGGTTTCAGAAGCAGCGATTGATGGAAGCAAACAGTGACGGTGAGACCAGCCAAAAAAGCTCATTGCGTTCTAAGATGTGAGCATCTGAATACAAATAAAAAGATCACCAGATACTTGTTTGTCGGGTTTATTGCGTCAATATAGCGACAGCAGATGCAGACAAGGCTACCAAGTGCACTTTGTTAGACCCTTTTGTTGAAAACTTCGTAATAAAACATAGGGTTTGTTTCATAATGTAACATATGCATGCATTCGTGTGGTGTTGTATTCTCGGACATCTTTTGTTTATGAACCACGTACTTTGTTTGCGAGATAGGCAGTGTTCAGCTTGAAGATGTCATTCTGAACCGAGTGCAATTAAGTCCACTCTTCCCAGTAGGGAGATATGCTGCACCTAAAAATAGAATTGTTCTACGCAGGGTCGAAACGGCCAGTTCATTGACCATTTATTGAGCTATTACACTTATTTCAAGGTTCGTCGTTTTGTTTTTACACTCTAATCCTCTTTTATTTTGAGTTTTTGATAATTGACACCCTATAATTTGTAATTTTAATAATTTACACCCTATAATTTGTAGTTTTGATAATTAGTTCCCCAGTAGTTGGTAACTTTTACACACAAAACCCTGAAAATAACAGCAATCAAAACATTATTCCTAATTCACATAATAACCCTAATTTAATTTATTTTGACTAATATAATTTTGTTTAACTAACACAATTGACCTGTTAACTTAATTAAATTATGTATTAATTAAGGTTAATCATTGGGCAAGTGAATCCGTAAGGAGATGTCTAAAATTGTTCTTTTTATGTTCTAAACTAGAAGATTCATTTTGAGATAATGTTCATGTTAATATTTTCCTTATAATGAGTATGAATCTGAAATTATAATTGCTTTCATCATTTAATGGGAAACTTGAATTTATCATGCTTCTGTGTGTGTGTGTGTGTGTGTGTGAAACCCATCAAACTATTTACTTTTTTGGGAGAATAAAGTTAAAGTGTATCACCCATAGATATAAAGTTCATTGATGTGTACAAGTTTGCTGTCCAGGATCTGTTGGGCATGTTAAATATGATCTATTGGGTATATCAAGTTTTACAAAATCTTTTATCTGAATTTGTGCTGTGTGTGTGTGTGTGTGGGTGTGTGCAAGGTTTTCCAAGATAACTGACATGTATAAGATACAAATTGGGTAAAATTTAACCCAGCAAAGTAAAAGCTCCAGCCCTATTCATTTAACATTCACAACTGTCTGCTATGTTAGAAGTAAAAGATGCGTAATATTTGACCTCATCTTCTCTTGTGCCTCACCTTGTTGCCAACAGGTGCTTATCAAGCTTTTCTTTCAACTCCTCTATGCAAACACATCAAATATTTACAACTGATAGACACTCCAAGAAATAAAAAATAAATAAATAAATAACCAGTGTTTTGAGTACCCAATGAAGTGGAGCGCACACTTTAGACCACCAGCCAAAAGCTTTAATTTCGAGCTGATTGGTAATGCCAGTTCTAAGTGACCCCTGTTGTGTTATCAATTCATGATTCTAGTGTACATTACTTGTCCACAAACATCAAGTCTCATTACCATCGACTTATTTACCACTCTACGGCAATTTTATAAAAAATTTATTAAAATACGACACTTTTTAACTTATTTATCAAACTACGACATTTTTAAAAAAATAGTGTTATTGACTCCGCTTTTAATAATTGGTTGGGAAAGACTATTCATTGTTTCAGTCATATACAAAAAGAGGTTGTGAAGTCCAATGAATTCAACCATAAAAGCGGGGTTGTCAACCCTTCTTTTTAAAAAGTGTTGTATTTCGGTAAATTTATTTTAAGATTGCCATAAAGTGGTAAATAACTCTATTACCATTTGTCACTTTTGTCTTATTTGCTGATGATTTTTCAGCACTTCCATTGTTTGGCCCCAACCCAAAACAGAGCCAAAAATCAAATATTGACGACTTCAAGCTTTTACATCCTAGGTAAAACATGGGCAAGCCAGACCTAGTAATGGCAATGAACCCCTCAAAAGTTTAAGAGAGCACTAAATATGGCTGAAACCAGATGAAATTGATCTAATATTATTAGCTAAACCTTGTAAACAGTGCAGAAACTTTCTCAAGCAGCAAAAGTTCGTTACTGCAGCATAATTTTGAGATATCACCAACAATTGACATATATAGATATAAGAATAGAAGAATATAGACCTTGATTACCACCAATTTTCTATCCTAATCCATAGTTAACAAGGGACTACTAACGTCAAAAAATTACTAACTGATTTGCATATACAATGTCAGGCAAAAAGCACACAATGTAATAAAGAAGCAAATAAGGTCAAGTTACCTGCTTGGAGACGGCCTTCTCAATAGTTCCCCAAAGGGACCAAACAGGAAGGACAAGGCCGCCTAACATATTGTCCCCCCATAATTGTCTTCCTTGCATGCCCTACAAGTCGAAGCAACCGTAGGCCATCAGAAAAAGTAAGTTAAGAAAGCATCAGCAATGCAGCATGCCTACCCAAATTTAATCAATGTGAAAGACAAATCTTTAGCTAAGACACTTGCTGCAGCTTTCATATAAAATTTTAGCCCACATGGATGTCGATGCCAAAAACAATATCTAGAGATAGGCTTTAGAAAAATCTCATTTCACCTTTGCATTGTTCTGCTAATGAACACCTTAATTCATAGAAGGGAATACAAAAGCCTGCCACCCAATTATAACTTAATTCATAGCAGGGGTAAACTTTGCTATCTTTCACAGTATTTCTCATTCACATTACAACTACCCAATCCTTTGGGACAAATACTGGGAGCACAAATAAGGTAATAGACATGCGCATAAGCATATACATTGACAACAAGAGATACAAGAGGAGAGGCAAAATAGAGACCCAAAGGGAGAGCTAACCTGCAATTGCCTCTTCATTCCAAATGGGTGTAAAATTCTTGAGGTTTGGGAAAATGAGTGGACACCAACTTATCAATAAAATTAGCACAGGATTCAACATAAATCTCATTAATCTTAAGTTAACAAAGTGGCAGTGAAACTATTACACGCACCAACCTCCAATTCATCAATAAAATTAGCACAGGATTCGACATAAATCTCATTAATCTTAAGTTAACAACGTGGCAGTGAAACTGTTACATGCACCAACCTCCAAGTCATCAGGTTGGTGGACAAAACAAAGGAAGATATCCTCAACCCTACACCAAAGAAACTAATTGGACTAAATTATATATAAACACCGACAAGAAGCAGATTAAATTTTCAATTCCACAAACTAACATTACTTCTCAAGTTTCCCCCCTTTTGACAACAAAATGAACTCTAAAGAATCAACATTCAATTCCAAGGGACACTGACCCATGTACTATGGGGATTATGCAAGGAATTTTGGGTAAGGATCAAGCTGTTACCAACAATTTAATTCTACAAACAATTTTTTAGGAAAACAAACAGAAGTGGACACACTTGAAGTACTTGAGAAAATCTGTGTAAGTAATATATATATGCACACACAGTTGGCCAATCATTTCCGATGGTCTTGGGGTATAGGACTGGATTGTGATGAATCGATGATGTTACCTTTTAGTAGGTTTAGTGTTTTGGAAAGATAGAAAGAGAATGACAATAGCAATTCAGTCATATCTCATCTCTCCTCCTAGGTGAGACCTTTCAGTTGCAAATTGCTATTCTTTGAACCTGCAACTCAAAACCAACCAGCCGGGTGTCAAACCATATAACACAACTTGATGGATCGTTGGGAGAAACCAAAAGGGTGGTTAGTAATTAAAGAGGAAACAAGGTGAGGAATAAAATGATTTTATTTATAGTGGTTCTTGATTAGCTGACTTTTGAGTTAGAAATGTGATTTAGTAGTTGATAGTGTAGTCTTTACATATTTTGTTAGGGGTTAATAAAGGTAGTCAAAAATTTTTACAACTTGTTGACCTTTAGTAGTAGTATAGATGATTTAAGCTTGAATCATACTATATTTTAACTCACTCAGCTGAACATAACACTTTTTATATCAATTGGTGAGTCTTTGTAGTCTTTATTTGCCCCCAAAATCTTGGCTCCACCCAGAATGCACCTCTGGTTTAATACTTATAGTTTGATGGTTCATTGAAAATTTTAAACCTCACCCTATCTTTTAGCTGGAACAAGAGCTTTTAAATTCCAAACATCTCTAGATACTGTTCTGTCCTGATACAACCTGGTTACTAAAAATATGTGATACTATGCGGTGAGATTGTCATGTTCTCCTGTAATGTATAATTTACTGCCTACTGACTAGCATCTATCCACCTTTACATATATGCATTCACATGCTAGCACATGCAGAAACCAAAACTTTGGTTAGGTTGGAGTTACCATTAGTGTCTTTATTTGTTCTTGGCATCCATGTTGCAAGCACCATTTTCTGGGGACAAAGTTCTGTTGGTGCCAAGAGTGTGATTGCAGAGAAGTGATCTCAGTCAAAATAAGGCAAAACTTTTGTTGAACATCATATTTTTCTTTAAGCATTGGTATCATACTCAAGCGATGAGGAAAATAGCTTTCAATCATAAACCTTATTTACTGTTTATGCACCTCCAATTGTCTTCACTCCCTTGGTATATTATATCATTTTACAGCATATTTTTTATAACTTCTAAGATCAATGTTATTTTTTTACTTCTGCATGTTAGAGATCTGATGTATTCGTCTGCAAGACCCCTAAAGCAATTTATGATTTCTTTTTTTTTTCCACTGAATATTTTTTCAGGGCATATTGGGGATGTACTTTTAAATTTTGTTTCACACCCTTGATTCCAAAATAATAAGCATTATACATCAGGTTTACGGGCCACGCGAAGTCTACATGGGCCTCTGTATACAATTTCCTCATAATTAGACCTTTTTTTTCTTGCCATTCTTGTATTTAGTTTTAGGCAGAAGGAACCTGTACATACTCAATAATACATGGCCTATACTGCAATGCCAAGAACAAATTTTCAGACCATTGAGCTGAATGAAGCAATCCAGATTCCTCATAAATAGGAGTGTAGGATGCGAAAATCTAATTGGGGGATGATTATTTGTAAGTCCATAGGAAGAGTTGTGTACTAACCTTTCTTTGCCATTAAGAATAGCAATCTGCAGAGCAATACGTTCATATTCAATATAGTCGGTGACTGTATTCACGTTGCACTTGGAAGTCTCTTGCTCTTTCAGTATATTGCAATTTTTTATCAGTAACATTTGATTTCTGAATCTCCCGAAATAAACCTGCATCTTGTAAAGCAACCACACAGCTTAAGTAGGCTACAAGTGTCAACTGCTAGTATAAGGGTTTTGCAGATATGCACCTTATTTGTAGTTAGCTGACATTCGAGACATGTACGTCAAGACAGAGACATGTTTAGGGCAAAGACCAAACTTTGGTTTCAAATATCATTTCATTGGTA